CCTCCATCCAGCCCGAAAGCGAGACAGCGCGCAGACAATGCCACCTTCTCTCTCCACTAAGTAAACAGTGCACTGCAACGTGGCGGATGTGGAGAAGGCGGATTCTCAGCGTACCGTGCGCGAGTTCCCAGCGGACACCATGACGGGACCAGAGGGTGGCGGCCACGTGGGCCCTGACGCCTGCTCGTCGCGGGCTTCGCCCGTGGAGCTCGGTGGGGCTGAGGCATCAGCCGCCGCTTTGGTCTGCAGCTCCTTGCTCTCCGTGGCGCCCGAGGGACGCCGCAGGCATCCCAGCCAGGAGCCCCTGCCGTCTGGCTGCGTGGTGGCCTTTGTGGGTGTCCGCCTCTGGCCAGCTCTGGAGTATGGTTATATTGAACAGAACTCACTGGTCTGAAGGGCACGGAGCCTTGTGGCTACCCTGTGCCCTCGCCACCTCAGCGCCTGGCTCCCACTGACGTGCTGTCCAGCGTGAGCGCCGGCGTCTGTCCTTTGCTGGAGCTGGCGGGGGCGGGGGTAGGAGGTGCAGCTGGGAGGGCGAGGACAGACGGGTTCTGACAGGAGCCACAGCCCCGCGGTCCTGGCACCGGGCGCTTCGGGGCTCTGTGCATCCGCGCTCCGAAGCTGGCTCTCCGCACCCTCCGTGGCCCGGGGCATCTGTGCTGGAAACATCTCTTGCTGCCGACCGGGTGCCGGCCGCCAGGAGCCCGTGTTCGGCTCCCATTGCTGCTAGGCAGCAGCGCTCAGTGTTTCGAGAACGTCGTGGCTGCTGTGCCCGTGTGAGGCATGCAAGGAGAGCAGCTCAGCCGTAGGGTGAGTTAGCACAGCGTGTTGAGAGGGACAGTGGGGACCTTGGCAGGGTCGGTCATGCAGGGAAGGGCGTGTCACCAAATGCTGCATAGAACGGATTCGTTCGTGATGTCAGGAAGGACTCGGTGGCACTGCATTCCCAGGGCGGCTGTGGGTGCTGGCACGCGGGGTCAGCGAGCTGGACAGCGCCCTGCGTTCCTGACGGGGCGGTGGCAGTGGTGGCCATGTGCCAGGCAGGGTGTGCTAGGAGGAGCGTGAGCACAGCAGTGGGGGGCTGACGCGCTGGCGAGGGGCCTGCCATCCGAGCGGGACTCCAGAGGACAGGTGTCTGCGGGATCGTGGGAGCAGGACGGCCTGGAGGCCGGCGGGGGCTCGCGGTGTGGGCGGGGCCGCCGGGGCGGACGAGACAGGGAGGGGACGGTTTGGGAGAAGGGCACAGCTGCTGGCAGTACACACACCCAGCCACCCCTACGCACCCACGCACCCCTTCACACACACACACCCTCCTCAGAGTCATAGTCATATACTCACACACACGTTCACACCTGCACGTGTACGTGCGTCTTACACTTACACTCAGGTAACACACACACACTCACACAGGTACACAGACGTATATGCAAATACACGTTCACGGGCACACACGTTCACACACATGTACATACAAACACTTCCACGTTTACTCACACGCACACACTGCGGTATGCAGCCCAGGGAGTCCTCGTGAAGGCTGGACAGTTCAGGCGTTTCTCGTGCAGAGAACATGATGAACGAGAGTGGATTCAGTGAGTTGTTTACGGTGTGCGTGTGCACATGGCAGCTGCCCGCTCTGATACGCTTGAGGCTTCGCGTGGGTTTTCGTCCTTGGATCTGCTCTTGCCGGCCCCGCGTGCCCCCAGCCGAGTGGCCGGCCAAGGGCTCAGGTGACTCTGTCTGTCCTGGAGCCTCTGCCTGGGCAGCCCGTCCCGCCTGGTCCCCTGTCACACAAGGGGCAGCAGCCCAGCCACAGGCCTTGCCTCCGCGACTGCCCGCGACCACGGGCTCCACCTTCCTGGGCCACGGCGCCCGGCCCTTGGCCCTCTGCGCGTCGGTGCGCTGTCTTGCGCCCGTGCAGTGGCTTCGCGTATCCCACCCAGCGTGCGGTGGTGGGTGGTGGAGCTCGAGGCCGGCCCGCGTCGGCTGCCCCATCGAGGCCCCGCCCCCCGCGCTCGGTGGGCTCCGCGTTCCTGCTCCACCCTTCGTCTCGGGAGCTCTCGCTTCCGGTTCCCGCTTCGCGTTCCTTTGCTTCTGTTTTCGAGTCTTTAAGTCTCTCTATCTCTGAGGTTTCCTCGTACGTTGGGCTGCAGTTCTCACGTTCCGTGTGTGTTTCCGGAGCGTGTCCGGCGGCGGCGGGGCCGTCCCTTCTCGTTAGTAGCTTCCACTTTCGTCGGATTCAGCTCGGAGCTCCTGCCGCCTGCTTGGAAGCAAACCAGGTTCCCTGAACGCGGCGTGAGCACTTCGCCGCCTGAGCCCCCTCCTCTGTGGTTTTCACAAAGTGGCACAAAGCCACCTGGTTCCTCCAGGTGTGACTCTGGTGGAGGCGGGTCACCGACAAGCCCAGGGGGCGGTCGCCGCGGCCCACGGGGAGCAGGCCAGGGCGGGAGGAACGCGCGCGCAGCTTGCTCCGGACACAGACGTCGAGGGTGTAGGTGAGTGTGCGCCTGTCCCCTTGCTCTGTCAGCTGAGGGGACCTAGAAAAGGGCAGCCGTGTGCACGCCCAGCGCAACCCCGGGGTCTAGTGGGAGGGGCCTGGGTTCCCTGGAGGAGGGGCCGGGTCTCAGACCAGGGCGCGGGGCGAAGCACCTTGCCGTGCTTAGCTGCTCCAGCTGCCTGGCGCGTGTGGCCGTCCTGCTGACATCTGTCCCCTAGACACGCAGTGGTGAGTGTGGTGCCTGAGTTCATGCTGACACCCAGGGTGGCCGTGGGGATGTCGTCCTGTGAGGGCAGCGGGGCCTTTCGCCCTGGTCAGCATGGGCGGCCGGAGCGCTGTCGGTGGTGTCCCCAGGCCAGGGGCCGGGCGGCCTTCGTCGTTGCCGGCCGATTTGTCCTCTCGGTGGCTTTGCAGTTGCCTCCGTGCAGGGTCGGGTGACCTTGGACAGGTGAGAAGGTCAGAGGGCCCTTGGGACACGGCCTATGGGTGGAAGGCGGGGCTGAGGCAGGGGTGTGGGTACAGGGAGACCCGTGGCCGTGCTTCTGGCTAAGTGGGGCCTGTCAGCAAGCGTGGGGACACGCGTCCACTTGTTGATGCGTGCTGTCACTGTGGTCAGGTGCTGGATTTTTCAGTACTTCCTGGGCTCCTGTTGCTTGGCCCTCTGTCGACAAGGCCTGGCCCACCCCGCTTCTGGCACCCACACAGGAAGGTGCTGTATGCGTGTTTCTGGGGTCTGCCGCCCTCGGTGAGATGGGGCAGCCTCTGCCCAGCTCCAGCTCTGCCCGCTCTGGATGCCTTGAAACCCATTGGCCTTGTCTGTCCAAGGCTGTCCGCAGGAGGTGCGCCACGAGTCTGTGTCCACACTCTGCAGGTGACAGCAGCCCGTGTGGTGTCCGCAGCCCATCTGGGCGACACCTCCCGTTGCCTCAGCCAGGCTGGGGTCAGGCAAGGGATGCTGTCGACCCCAGAGAGCCACCCGGGGCTCGCTGACGAGGCCCTCCCTCGGGCTGCTCCCCCCTTCACAGGGCTGCTCCCCCCCTCACAGCGCCCCAGAGGCGCCAGTTTGAAAAGGCGGCTGAGACACGCCCCGTTGAGCCAGACTTGGCCAGCGGGGCCTGTAAAAGGAGCAGCTCTGTGCGCGGCCGGAGCCCTCCTTCCCGTGTCCTCGTTGGCCGTGTCAGCTGGCTCCCGGTCAGGCGGGGAGGGCGCGAGCGGGCGGTGCGGCCTCCCACTCTCCCTGTGTGCCTCTGCGCTGCCCCACCATGCTGGGGGACCACGGCAGCCTCCCCGCAGACCACACTCTGCTCAGCCAGCCCCCCAAAACCGGACTCAGCTGCAAAATGGTGCTTCAGGCAGTCGGCAAAGTGCTCAGGTGAAGGGGGGTGGGGGGCGGTTGTCTGTCCTGTCCCTGGTCCCTGCCCCTGGGGTCAGTCCAGGCAGGAGTGGCTGCAGTTGTCTGCGTCTGCCCTGGCATGCAGCCCCCTCTGCTGGGCCGGGGTGGCCGACAGGGCCAGGGCCAGAGGCAGCCAGCAGGTGTCAGCAGCTTTGTCTCTGTAGCAGGTTTGCCTCTAAGTGTGTCACCTTTGCTGCCCAAGGGAGACGGGAGCCTCTGCACCTGGGTGGTGAGACGGGGCCCACTGTCACTCCTGCCTGACCCCCCGCACCCTCTGGGCAGGCCCTCCACCACCGACAGGGTGTCTGGCCTGTTGTCCCCAAGCGTGGCGACCAGAGCCTGTCCATGAGTGGCCTTGTCCGGAGAACCAGTGTGGGCCACAGCTGGCCGGCCGCTGCACGGGTGCTGCCAGAAAAGCCGGTCCTGACTGCTTGTCCCCTCTCCTTTGCCCTGCTGCAGCCGAGCCCCCAGTGCCCCACATATGGGTTAAGGGGACAGCCCAGCGTCTGTTCGGTCCCAGCGTGGAGGCGGTGGTACCAGGTGTTCCGGAGAGCGGGGGGTGCGCCGTGCATGGGGCCAGAGCGGGGGCGGTCCTCGCAGGACCACCCAGAGAGGGTCACAAGTGAGACGCCCTTCAGGCCCCTTTGGTGTGACAACCTCACGTCTGCCTGTGATTTCAGTGGGCCGTGATGTGAAATCGGGAGAATCTCCTGCTTCCCCGGTTCTGTCTTCGTGGGCGGCTGGGCTGGCCGTGGGCTGGCCGACGAGTTCTAGTGCCTGTGTGTGCCGGTGCCTCCAGCCATGTCTGGGCACCGTTGCTTTCCCCTTCCCCTGCCACGGGGCTCCTCCCCACAGCGGGTCACTGCGTGCCACACGGGAAACCGGAGACTCGCCCGCCAGCTCGCCAGAGCCCTGCCTGGTCCTGTTATGTGTGAGATTGGAAACATGGGCAGGTCGGCTTCTTCTCCAGGTCATCGGTTCAGATTGGGAACAGTGACCCTCACAGGCAGCGTAAGAGCCGTGCGCACATGGCAGGAGGGGCCGAACTCTGAAATGGGCTCCACAGCAGACAGACGGGAGGACTGACCCTCTGAGCCGCGGTACGCGCCCATGGTGCCAGCAGGCTCTGTGGGAGATGGGCTGAGGCCACCTTACTGGTGGACCAGGGAAGGCTTCACGGTGAGGGTGACAAGTCGGCCAGGTGTTAGGGGCAGAGCGCCTCCGTCCCGGGCAGAGAGGAGGGAGCAGAGCTCGCTGTGCGCACAGTGGCCACGTGGCGGCTGCACTTCGGGTCAGGAGCACGGGCACCACCTCTCGTGCGGGCCGTGGCCAGTAGGCCTGCGTGTCGTCCTCAGTCTGCCTGGGGCTTTTCCTCCCAGTGGGACACAAAGGCCGGTGCCAGCCTGCATTTGGGGGGCTGACCGCCAGGCGCTTAAACCGAGATAAACAGCCTGGTGTCCCTTTCCGTGGCGTCTGGCTGGCTGCCGCCCGAGGGGTTGGCGGGCACTCGACGGGGGTCCCATGGGGTCTTCCCAGCCCTACCGAGGCTCCATGACGGAAGGGGGTCGCGGTGGCCCCAGGCCAGGTGGGACCAAGGAGAACACGGCCTAGGCGGGGAGCCTCCCAGCATCACGAGGGTAGTTTTCAGGCACCACCTGAGGTCACCGCCTTAGAAATGGGAGCCCGGACTGGCGGTGAACCCTGTGTTCCACCAGCCCCGGGGGATGAGATGTTCACGGAACTTTGTGAGCCCCCTATGCCATCTGTCCCCTGCGTGTCTGTGCCCTGGCCATCAGGGTGACAGGGTTGACCCCAGTCGTCAGCCCAGGGCATGGGCTTCACACCCGACCGTGGTATCCCTTGCCAGGCTGGTTCCCATAGCATCCTAGGAGGGAGGTCGGTAGAGTCTGGCCTCGGGGCGGCTCTGCCCCGTGGGAGCAGGCAGAACCCGTGCAGAGGCCCGGACGCTGCCCGCAAGCCCTGCGCACCCCTGCTCCAGGGTGGCTTGACCTGGGGCCTGGCGGCACGGCTCGGGGCAGCGTCCTGGGCGCTGCCTTCGCGGCCCCCAGCGTCCTCTCTGCGGGCTGTCCCCCTCGACTCCGTCAGCACGGGGGTTTCTGTGGGGCTTTCCCAGCACTTGCTCGGCTGGGCCGCTGCCGTCCACGTGCATTCCCGCAGCCCTGCCCCCTCCCCAGACCTGCCGCCGCCGCCTCCTCCTCATCCTCCCCCTCCTCCCCTCCTCCT